TGTAAACAACATAGCTGCGTTCTACTCATACGCAAACTAGCGCAGTATAACCTGGACCAAAAGTCTTAACGTGTCCTCTTCCCAAGCCCCTTAAAGGTGCCCCTTTGTGAATTCGAGCAAATTACATTATCTCCTCTGTAAGAGTCGTAAACATTGTAAAAGTGCGACATCCCACGGTGGAGTTTTGGACACAAACATTAAAACATAAAATCATTGCACATATGGGGGTAATGACGATGAAAATGAAAATAATTATTCAACACACAAACGAATAAATGCATTCTTCATGTTAATTTATCATCTTGATTTTTTTGTTCAATAAATTTTATACAGAAGTTATCAATCTTTATTTGGAACTTTACTGAACATTCCTCTTCAACATTAGTAATGAATTATACCCATATTACGAACCAGTCGTATTCATACTCCTTATGGGATGATACAAATTGCACTTTGGTATTTTGATAACCTCTGATCTGTAATATCGTAAATCAACAAATCATGTTTACTATTTTAAACGATTGAAATGTCATATTTCAACACAAACTAAAATGTATAAAAACAAATTCTATAATGGGCTTATTTACAGTATAAATACAGTATACCAAACTTAAAGTGTTTGTTGAAAAGACACACCTGAGGATATGAAAACATAAAATGTTTTACAAAGAATATAAGTGTTTGTATGATACCGTTGAGTGATTGCAATCTTTAAAATGTTGATGATTAATTTTCGGGTGATAAAAGAGATTTTGTAAGTTTGGCACAAATTATTTACAGTCTATGTTAAAGCTGTTTAAATGTAGACATTATCTTGCTTTCTTCTGTCGGCAAAAGAAGGCTGATCCTGACCTCAGTCACATCTCAATGCTGGCAGCTAAACTTTTAATAATTTACGGTCATTCTGATAAATTGGTCGGTTTACATCAAACAAAGCGATACGTTGAAATAAATAAGACATTTTCTACATTGACTTTTTAATTTATATAATTATTTAAAAGATGACAGCTATTCTACAATTAAACCGAACGTTTCTCGGATGCATTCGGTCGAGTATACTTTACTTTTTGCTAACATAAGGAACTTGTTTAATCTCCAGTTGTCAATCACAATCTACTACTCCAGTAACCTATCCATATGGTCTAGAGTTTGCCAACAAAAGGTATAAAATTGAGTGTTATCGGGTTGATGACCTCAAAAGGCCTCTTCTTTTCCACAAGTAACAACACCATTTTTAAATTTCAACAAAGTTAAGTGTAAATTAAGACCAATTTGTTTAGCAATATTGACGTGTAATAAAAAGGTTGATGTCATAATGGCATAATAAAAATGTTAGGATTGGTAACAATTATGATTTTGTCAACTCCGAGTTACAAATATGATATTATACATATTCATAAACCGTCTGTTAGTGAAATTATTTATACATGTACATTTTCGGGGGAGGGGGTGGGGGGGGGGGGTGCATCATAACGCTGACCATTTTACGACTAAGGTCAAACTAAAACGGACCTGAAAAACAAATTTTAGGAGGGGATATAGGACAGGGGGGCGTACGCACAGCATAATTATTAAAATAATTTGCCTATTTTACATTGCAGGGATTATACGGAGTAAGATAGATTGAGAGATTTGCAAAGCAAATGAACGAGAGCTACACAGAATAAGAGAGAGAGAGAGGGGGGGGGGTAGGGAGAGGGGGGGGGGGGTGAGGCTGGGATTAAGGAGGGGGTTATGTTTAGAAGGACATGTGTGAGGTTGGTGGGGGTAGGGCAGTTGTAACATGGCAACGAAAGGATTGGCGAGAAGGGGGGGGGGGCGGCCGGCACCCACATAAAAATGTTAGTACAATTTGCTGCACACGACGTTAAACTACTCTACATAAATGATTAATGTAGAAAATGAGTGTTAGTAATGGGACACACTTGGCAAAAAAGGGGGTGTTCTTTACATGATGAATATTAGTAAACACGTAATGAGATTTCAAAAATGACTTGATCTAATTATGGGGAGAAAAAGCGCTTATCCATCTAAAACTGTGAAGACGAAGATGCCACGAAGTAGAAAATGACAATTTTCTTTGAAGTTGGGAGGAAAAGAACATGAATTTACGTGAAGTAGAGACTAGGGGGTGCGGTAAAAATTAAACATGCCTGGTAATGGTGATGGTTGGAGGTAGTGGTTTAGACCGTTTGTGGTGTTGTTTAAATTCGGTTCCTCTGGGCCGTATTTGTGATGGGACGAGAAGAAATAACGCAAAAATCAAAGGGTGATAAGAAAACGGTGTTAGTCTGTTATGTTAGTGACGTCATACCAATGATATATTCAAACAATAATTGCGGAGCTACTTACGACATAATATTAGTGATACATATAGGCTACGTATTTTTTTTTTTTTTTTACTAAACATGGACGTAATTATCAGCAGGAATTGTCAGGGCTCAACAAGATTAGGCCTATGGATCGACTACTTTTGTGAGCAAGAACACCATGGACTAAAAGGAGGGACGCAGTATTAGGAAGACATGGATTGTTTAATAGCTACTTGGTTAGTAAGCTTAATATAGGGGCAAATAAACGATCTTAGAGCGTGTATTGGTTTAAGGGATAGTGACACACGAATGGCAGGGTTTTTATCAAATTTTCGCAACAATATTATGCAGGGGTAGCTACAATAAGCCCATCTATATGGGAATGTGAATATGTTATTATTCATTCTACATGTAATTGGATTGTTTACATTGTCTAAAAATAAGATTAAAATGAAATAGGGAATGGTTGTCATGTTTTTTTAACGATTTCCATGAATTGTGTGACAATGTAATCATTACAAAAATAGTATATTGTAAATTGTATATCTATACTGCGTACGTAGTTCGATAATGTATAGTACCAATGTTAATTAGAAATAGGAAATACGTGTGTTATGATAATGATTCAAGCCTATCAAACAAATGAAAACAAAACAGAAATGATGATCGACAAAAATCACAATATCAATGATAATTCTTTAAACAATAATGATATACATTCCCTAATATAACTAACATCTTCAAACAAACGTATTCATGAAACATTACATTAAATGAAGATCTGGCTTAATTCATATTGACGATGAAATGAAGAAAACTGCCAACGCTAAACATGAACGAAATGTTTGACATGAAATTTGCATGGATGCTAGAATGTTGATGTGATTGTAACCATAACGTGTACGATGTACATGGTACTCCAAACGTGCTTGGTCCTTTAAAGCCCCACTGCACTATTTATAGCTACTTGCGCCCTCTATATAGCAAACAATGCTTAAATTGGTGACCATTGGTCCCCATGGTTTCCCCTTTTCTCATGTTAATTGAGAGGTGATTTGATGAGATAACCACGTGTCAGTGAACATGCAGTAATGTTTAATCCCTCCTTGCCAAACTAGTGCAGATAGACTTTAATGTTAACCCCTTTTTATTTTTTTTAAACAAATCATTGATACAGAAATAAGTCTACTAAAAAACTACCAACAAATTAGTCATATACAACACATATCATTATTTAATACAAATGTATCTCTGTATGTATAACTTCTTGTGACTTCTTATTAAATAAAAAAAGATGATGCAGTTAACCTCTGTGTTTGCGTGTAAGGTTAATAGATTTACGTCATTATGTACTAGATTTATTGGCATTTACTTTAAAAAAAATTAAGATAAGACATTGAAAGTTATAATTACTAAAAAAGAAGGGCACCATGAAATAGTTAAAATACAATTATTTTCAGAGTTAATGATTAGTTGAGTAGAAAATTTTACATGCTCTTTTAATAACCATTTCTTGAACTTCTGTCAAAGAGGTCATACGGTTCCCTATATATATATATATATATATATATATATATATATAAAGTTGATGATTTGCAGCTTGGTTTTAAAATTGGTAATATATCATACAAATAAATGATTTATTTTAACGTAAAGTTGGGAATTCCGTAAATGTAACAAGTAATATACATCAGGTTACACGTGCAAGAATAGTCGATCGATTACTTGCCTTTGTGACTTTTGGAGCTGTAAAATTAAGGCAATTTAGACTTACTTTAAAACCTTCACATTTTCGTAGCAACCGAAAGCTTAATGGTTGTATAATTGATTTTACATTGCTTTTTTTTTTTTTTTTTTTTAATTGTTCACGTTTTCACAGATTATGGTATAGACATGAAAAAGTATATACTTAACAAATTTCAATGAGAGATTTACACAGTCATAACCCATCGGTATTGCCATTTTAGAATAGAAATAATGATTATACTAAAATTCGATTTGACACAGTACATGGTATTTTTGTATCAACGGCATACATGATGTATCCAATTATTCATAAAGATATATGCCTTCAGTTTATCGGAACACTTGCAGCATTCTTTCAGTATCTCACAATTAAGGTGTTTTTCTTTTTCAATGGCTTGATGCAATTAATTCATCTACATGTAGAGATATATATGCATGGTTTATAAAGCGATTAATTTTTTGTTTTCACTTTTGCGCTAAAAGGAAACATTGTTACATTATATATCAATACATATGGGAAATGTAACTAAGCAGGCGTATGTTTGTCTTTGTGAAATGGGTTAATGGACAATATTATTATGTATAATTATATAATTATATATATTTCTTTTATTTTGAAATGAAAATAATTAAAGCGAACCATTTTCTTTATATTTACGTCCCTGCAGGCAAAATTGTAGCAATCAATTGTACATGAAGCACGAATAGCTTGATTAAAGGGATCAGTCTATCAAAAAGTATATAGCACGATAACAATCCGATATTGTATTCCTTTACTCTAAAAAAAAATAGAATGGTAATGAAAGGATGGTTTCTTTTAAAAAAAAATAATTGTGCGATCATAAGAGTAATTTAATTCATCTTAAATCTCAATTATTAAATCATATCAAGATTTAAGATTTCTTTTGGAAATAGATGGCAATGAGTTTTCTTCATATTTACCTCCTTCGCTGCTGTCGCCATCATCTTCAATAATTCCCGCCCGAAGCGAGAGCGGTGTAGTCTCTCTGTCAGGTGGGGGCGCCCCATCAACTACTGGACAAGACACCGGACAAGACTCGTCTTCGCTAGAGCTTTGGCGCGACTGATGGAACCCCAGAGGGCAGCCCGTGGTGACCGAGTCGCGAGCGATGAGGCTGGTCGAGGCGAGCTCGAACACGTTGTTCTCGTGGTCGCGTATCTAGAGGTATAGAGTGAGGGGGACGATGAGATAGACAGACAGACAGACAGGGGGGGGGGGGGGGGAGAAAGAGAGAGAGAGAGAGAGAGAGAGAGAGAGAAAGAGAAAAACAGATAATTACGTTAATTGCTATAAAAATGCAAAGTTATTTATTATATCTAAACATATTAACAAAATAAAATATATATGTAGCGACAGTTTAAACCGAACAGGATATACCCAATCGCTTGGTGTCTTTTATCTTTTAAGCGTGAGAGATAGAAGACCAAACTCAACATCACACTGATAAGAAGCTTAGGGTAAGGGGTGAAAAGAGGGAGAGAGAGAGAGAGAGAGAGAGGAGTGTCACTCTTTTAATTTCGCTGTCCATACGTCGTGAAAAACCTAGGCACGTGATTACTCGGCGAACGTAAACATGGTATAGACAACACACGTGAATTATACACAATTTCTCATTTTACTTTTAAAAAAAGGCCTGTCTGCATTTTTCAAATATGGAAACAAGGCTTAGAGTCCCAGACAATATTTGTCATAAGGTTCATCACCACCTTATGCTTCAACTCCTATGATTTTTTTCTTCTCCACAAGTCACGTGCTTCATAAACAAAGATGGCAAACCAAAACGACTCCCGTCACTTTTTCGGAAATCCCCCCAGCGCATCAATTCGAGCCGTCCGTCATAATCTTTCGATCCAAATTTATGGCATAACAACGAGTATTCCTTCCGAGGCATACGTGCAAAAGAGGGCGTAAAATTGATCCCTCGCGCCAGAGAAGTTCAGGAGGGTTCATCCATTCTTTCCATTATATTTCTATCCGAAAATCAAACACATGTATCGCAAAAAGGGGCTTCTAGCTCTAGTGGCGTAGGTTAGGGGGTACAAGAGGGTACGCACTCCCTAAAAGAATGATAAAGAAGCCCCCCCCCCCCCCCAAAAAAAAAAAAAAAAAAAAAAAAATAGATAAAGAGAAATTGATGGAAAAACCCTGCAACAACGCCTGTATGAAACCAATTAATTCTGTCATCAACAAAGTTACGAAAAATTCTGTAAATTAGAGAGTACCTCGCAAAATAGATACGTCACTATGTTGCCAATTAGTCTTTCACTAATGCCAACTTTAAACATTCATAACTTTCATATTTTTAGTGGGATTTCACTCAAACTTTCACAGACCTGTTCTTCTAAATGTCATGCTTGTATTAAAACGACAAAATATCGGGGTGGATTTCCCATTTAAAATAAACTATCAAAAAATACACAACACCACCCCCACATTGACTTGCTGAATTATAGAATAATAAACATTGTCATCTCTCACTCCCCGCAAAACGAGAGAGTTTAGTATTTCATAGGTAAACATCGCTGCCCCTCCCCTCACCAGTGATATAGACGAAATGAAAAAATAACACACATGTCAAGCAAATGATTCAAAATATCCCCCAACGAACCATTCAGGGAAGGAAATTCTTTCGTCTCCCAAGTTGGCATGTTTTACACTTTGCACTTCAAGTAATTTGAAACTACAATCCAAACTTGCCATTATTCGTAGTTTATCCCCTAAGTAGTAGGACTGTAGTTAAAAAAAAAAGCGTACTCAGTTTATTTTAGGTTTAGGCCCAGACGAAGTGGGTAGAATTGTAAAATCTGTTTAGTCCGCAATAGTCTCTTATTCTAACAAATGACCCAACAAAATCCATGTCATCTTAGGAAATTAATTTGTCACTTTTATTTTATGACTGGGTTTCGTTGTTTGTTAATTTCGTTACACACTTACATATATGTTTGGTTCTATTTACATGATACAAAGTAATAAAGGCTAATAGAATAAACAATTTTGATCAAAGTTTGATAAATAACTTATTAGTCATTTGCTGCGAGAGAGCAGCATAATTCCTTTCGAAACTAAATACCCTATCATGAGTTTAATCTGATCAATAGTCAAATTTGTGCGTCATTGTCACGTGCTAAAACGAAAAAAAAGAGAAGATAACTACACAATATTATTGTACAATGCGCCTTTCAAAAGATTTACCCGGCTTAAGCATCTGCATAATTCATGTTTAACCCCCTGCCACGACAACGACAAAGAAAGACAAAACCTTTTAAGCTACAACGACTTTAAACCAAGATTATATACCCGACAATCATATGAATAGTTATTATTTGTATCATGCTTATTTATCCTCGTAAATCGGGGCTTTTTTGTGATAGTTGATGCTCCCTAAGGAGTCTGTGTTGTATTTTTAGAATGTTCTACCCACAGAATCCTCGTTTTTACATGACCCCCCAAAAGGTCTCTAACGTAATGTAATTCCAAACATTTTCCAACGTCTATGCATTTTAAAACGACCCGGTTTTTATCTCGTACACGTAATGAAATGATGTTTGTGTATAAAAAGAGAAATAAAGAATAGGAATAACAGGAAAGAGGGAAAAAGAAGAAGAAGAAGAAGAAGAAGAAGAAGAAGAAGAAGAAGAAGAAGAAGAAGAAGAAGAAGGAGGAGAAGAAGCGAAAGATGAAGAAGAAGGAGAAGCGGAAGATGAAGAAGGAGAACCAAAACAAAAAAACGAGGAAGACAAAAGGATTTAAACGAAATAAAAGAGATGAAAGAGGAGAGGAAAGTCGTCATGAGTTGGAAAATAAAGATTTTGTTGTTGAAATGTTAAGAAATACAAAAAGGGGTTCAAATGGTCTGTTTTAGGTGAAAACAATGGACACTTCATCTTTTCTGCATATCGTTAAAAAAAGAAGCATAAGGAGCAGAAGAAGAAGTAGAAGAAGAAAAAATAAATTAAGAAATGAAGAACCGAGATGAAAACCAAGAGGAGGAGAGGGGTGGGGGGGGGGGGGTGGTAGAACCAGGAACAAAGGCATAAACACAAGAATAGGAAGTCGAGAACAAAGCAACAAAAAAAAAGTAAACGTATGAAATTGAGATAGAAAACACATACATGACATTGAGAAGGAAAAATATAGGTCACTGCATGTTTTCTGCAATGCAAATTAGAAATAGACACCCTATGCTTCATGGGATTACTCCTTCTGCTTCTGGGGAATTCATTCAACACCAGTTTATATTATCATGTTTAAATCCCCGTTCTACTTCCTCCTCCTCCACACACACACACACTCTCTCTCTCTCTCTCTCTCTCTCTCTCTCTCTCTCTCTCTCTCCTTCTCTCTATCTCTCACTCCCCCTCTCTCTCTCTCTCTCTCTCTCCTTCTCAAGCCAATGTGGGGGACACCGAACAAATAGTATGGATTCAGTTCCATATTTTGTTTCACATTTGTATTCGCTAAACATCCTAAATATACAGGAGTATATACCTAAATAACCGATTAAGACTACTATGTCATTTGACAGCAACTGCTAGTCCTTGTACTTTCTCCTTAACCTACTAATGATACAACGTTTATGATTGCCAAGTTAATATATGGAAACGGTCCAATTGTGTATATGAATATACCGTTTTCGTACTGTCATAAATTTAATCCATAATCTTTGTTAACTGTCATGGTACAAGATAATTGTATTTCAATACTCATAGGCGACTGAAAGATATAAATTGTTGCTAGGTAGGACAAACATTACGAATTATCCTACCTGTTGATCGAATTATTGAATGACATTTATGATTCTTGTTGATATTGTTGTGAGAAAATATCATATAGGCCTACCTAAATAAAAACAAATCAATGAGGTGGTCTAAAAACGGAATACAAGAAACCGTGCATTATGATGTTGAATGCGCCTTATCTGTAGACTGATGCTGCTTAAACATGATGAATGAAGTTCCCTTTCCAGTTTGATCTTTTTCCATAAAATTGTTCTTCTTGCGGGAAAAGCAACGCAATGGTAAAATTGGAGCGCCGCCTAAGCATGCTAAGTGTATAATGGAAGCGCAGTCAGGTTAACTTCATATATTTTCCTCTCGTAAAAATCCATTTTGCCTCGTTTCTGTTTATTTCAAATAAATCTAGGGATTTGCAAAATATGGACGGTATGTGCCGTGATTAGGCAGAATATTGTGGTTGACAATTTCATCTCCTCTCATCAGCTGGGATAAAGGTTGCGGGAGATGATTACATGAGACAAATTTGGAATTCATTAAGGAACACCTGAAAGAAGGAAGCAGCTTGAGAGGCCTCAGAATTTCGGGGTGCATGGTATTGTGCGAGGAGCTTACTTTTGTGTGAAAAATTGCCATCTCTTGTTTGCTACAATGGTACGATGAAGTCATGTAAAATGACGTATTTAGGAGAGAAAAGAGGAGGAGGAGGAGGAGGAGGAGGAGAAGATAAAGAAAAGGAAGAAGAAGAATAACATGAAGAAGGTGAAGAAGAAAAAAAATGAAGGAGTAAGAAGAAAAATGGAGAAAAAGAAGAAGAAGCAGAAGGAAAAGATAAGAGGAAGATTAAGGAGGAGAAGAAGATAAAGAAAAAGATGAATAAATAATATTTAAAAGAAGATGAAGAAGAAGAAAAAGATGAAGATAAAGAAGAAGAAGAAGAAGTAAACGAGAGAGAGAGAGAGAGAGAGAGAGAGAGAGAGAAAAAAAGAGACTACGTAGCCAAATCATATTAGGCCTTTAATTTTTTGAGGAACATAGGCTACTTGCAAATTGAAAGTATTATTCAATTTTCTGCGTTTGTATGTCGGCATAGAATTTGATCTCTGATATTATTGTTTCTTAATATATGTTGGAAAATTAAAAATATACTTTTTGTTATTTGACTTTAATTTTCATATGATTGATATTTTCCGATCAGTATATGATAATAATATTAATATATACTATATTTTAGCACATTTAATTTACTTTAAGTTTGTTAGCCTTTGTGCATTGATAAATTATTCTTGTTTTTGCCTATCTATAACCCGATAAGGAACCAGGAATTTTCTTTTTAAAGAAGGTTGCCAGTAACTGCACCTGTGTCAACGACACTTTTGAGCAACTACTCAAAAAGACATTGGAACTGTCGTAAACTCTGGAACAAATCTTCTCGGTATAGACGCCCTTTACATAGCTTATGATGTGCAACAGTTGTGGGGACAACCCTGAGTCCATGGACCTATTTCGTAGTAGGTCCATGCTGAGTCCAATACCAATATAAACTCAATTACTTATCATTATATTCCAGACACTCTTTGGAATGTCAACAGTAAGTAAGACAAGGACCTTCCGCCAATGCACTAACAAGTCAGATCGAACGTTCGAGCCGTAATGAAAAAAAGAACTGAGATTTTGATTGTCTGACACTACATAGCGGAGAAAGTATATATGTGAGAAACAGATTGAATGATCTCAGAAGAGGTTAACCGCTCTGTATTCTTTTTTCATTTTTTTTTTTATAAAAGAGGTCAACCGCAGTGGGCACATGGCCCTCTACGGCTACATGTAAATCTGCCATACGTTTAAAGGGGACGTCCTTCCTGATATTATCTTGGTTCTAAATCAAGGCAGAAGAAATAGAAACAAAATTAGTAAAGGTTTGAGCATATCCGATCAGAAATAAGAAATGTATGATTTTTTTCAAGTTGTCATCGGTGTGGCACAAGTTGGCAACACTGTGACGCACGTTGCGAGCTCCTTCTCAATTTTTCTCTGCACAGAACTTTCAATAAACTTAATTTGTTCTTAGTTATAAATGACGGACAAAATCTTTTTTTTTCTTCAAATATTCATATTTAGGGTGAATGTAAGATTGGATATTTTGTTGATTTCTTTTTTAAAGTACAAGGCAAACGACGTACAGAGTTGCCAATTTTTCTTTTACTGATTGCACCTTCACCTTAAAACAAAAATAATAATCTTTTTTCGCTCAAACTGTCACTGACTTGTTTCTCTCCCTTTTCTGCCTTTAGTATGCCCAACATTATATCAAAGTGGACCGCCCTTTAATCCTTTGATGAATAATACATTTCTCACCTAATTTACAAAACTTTCCCCTTTTTTGGTCGTTGTCTTTTCTTGTTGACATATAAGTTGAAATGTAAGTTCCCTTATAGTTTCAACAATGAAAATAAAGCTTGGATAAAGGTATACCGGCCTTTATTGAGCACACGCAAAGGGCAGTGGGTCGCCCGAATAAAAACACAAAAAGTCGCAAAAAAACCCCACAAACACCATGAGTGACAATTTCTGTGTCTCTTGAGAAAACTGCGATTGGTTTTAAATGTAGACAAGCCCTTAGTTTTTACAAGCGCTAAGTATAAGTCAAAGATCCCTTACGTTTATTTATGTTCAAATTATCATCTGGTACGTGACTTTATCGTGTTTTGAACGAAATTTTGTATAAATTTCGAGTTCATGCTTGGTATTCAGTCATAGTCCGACCAAAATATGATTTTGATAGAAATGATGAAATTCTGTATTTTCAATATCATTTAACGACAAACAAAGCTACTCTCGGCAAATGGGATGTTATTTTAAATAATTCCAGGGGCTTTTAGACGAATGTTATGGATCATTTTAAGACAGTTAACTGATTCATTAAGGTTCAGAGAAAGAGAGGGAGAATTAATTTATAGTATAAATTCATATCTCTACCATACCTTGGGGAATGTATATGTAATATAATCACACTAATAATAAAAGGAATACCGGCACATTACAATGAGCCCAAATCTCTCCAATCATTTAGTAATTGCATGTAAAACAAATCCTCTTCTCTATATTCAAGTAGTTAATACCAGACGCACAAATAAAAAGACTCAACATTTGCCAGGACATATTTCTCGCTTAAATCCATATTTTTCACCGACTATCCCCAGCGGAGAATCTAAATTGATACACGTACTGGAGTACCCGTAAATCAAGGCGTTAAAAAGAGAGGAAAAATGTGCTTTTTGACACTATTTACTTTAGGGAATAGATTTATTTTCTCGTTCTGAGGAGGTGTTGAGTTATTTCCGTGGCCGGCCCATATAGAATCGGATACTAGTATAATAAATCAACAAGCGATGATGGACTAACAATTATTATACCTTGTGTGAAATAGCAATCTCATAATTTTGTAACACACTGTGTTTAACCTTTGAAAAAAGATAACAATTCAGTTAATGCAAAATGGAGAAATTGTTGGCAAAGGAACTAATGCAAGAAGGAGAAAATAAAGCTTTTTGAGGTATAATCGAGGGGGTGCAGAAATTATATGAGGTTGACCGTTTCGAGGGCGTGAAGTGCCCGAGCGGGGGAGGATGTGCGAGGGAGAGGGTCACCCTGCCAGGATTGGGAAAATGTTGGTACTTTTCTGTCTGAAAATTCAAGTTTTAGGTACAATTTTGACAAAACGACAAAACCGTTTGACTATTAAATGACTGTGTCCTAATTATGATGTTTGCATTGATGCTTTGTTTCCTTTGTGTAGGTGGCCTGACTTGGCCCATCAATTCACATTGCCTTTGTAATACACATACACGCACATTTAATTATATATAATAATGATAATGATATTGATAATTATAAGTCCATATATTGGCATAATATGACGAAAATAAAATGATTTAGTGATAATTAATTGGTTTCTTACCGATTCCCAGGTTAAAGGCAAATTTGGTCTTTTCATCTCGAAGACATCGCTGAGTATTTGGCCCTCGAGACCAGGGAGCACCGCGCAGAGACCACGCCCTGTGTGAGATAGAGAGATGGAGAGAGGGAGAGGGGGGGGGGGGCAGAGAAAGGGGGAGAGGAAAGGGAGAGAGAGAGAGAGAGAAAAAAAAAGTTATACCATGTTTTATAAATTAGACTTTTACATTGTGAGTCAGCGCGTCGTATAATACCAGTTAGTAAACGTTACACGCAATGAAAGATTCAATCAAACAATGTAAATAATTTCCTGAATTAATGATTCTTTGATTTCAGGCTTTTCACGAGCTTGAATACTCCTGATGTTACTACTTATTTATAGAGATTATATTTATTCAGTTTTTAATGGCTCTGTATTATTATCATTCTGTCATCATTGTAATAAAACTGTGCACCGACAGAGGTGTCACAAATATTCCGCTACTCCCATTCTCTCTCTCTCTCTCCCATTCTACCTCTCTCTCTCTCTTTCTCTCCCCCTCTCTCTCTCTTTCTGTGTGTTTTACGCAGCATATGGGGAAATGTGTGTCTTCCATCGTTGTCTACGCATTGTCGATGTGATAATAATAATAATAATAGCTTACATTTTAGTATAAAGCTCTCAATACAATGTTTCTAAGCGCTTAAAAAAAAAAGTGATTTGAGCCTGCAAGTTATACATGTTACATAATTCTAATAACGATTTTATGATAACAATTTTATAATAATAACAAATAATCTTTACATAGCACTTTATAGATTAACAAAAGAAATATAATTACATTGCATATTGAACAGAAAATGTTTAAGTTGGGGACTCGCGTACTTCATGGGGAAGTTTGTTCCAAAGTCAGGGAGCAAGAACAGAAAAAGAAAACCGAAGGAATATCGCTCAGTCGTGTCAATGTTCACACCAGCAGAAAATACAGTTAGTTCGCTAGTCATCATTCGATCATTCACAGTTGCTCATTCCCGGTCTTCATGGAGCAATTCTGTCGATATTTAGTTGATTACCCTCGTTTCAGCCCGACGAGACAACGTTTCTCCTTTCTCCCCTCGGCGTAATTACAAATAGACCATTCAAAGGAAACGATACCAATGCCATTGCTTTCGATGCGACTGGATGAAGTGGGTCGAACGATTTACATTACAACAGCACATTTTTCTCGACTTTTTCCACAATCCTTTAAATTAACATATACAATAAGGCTTTATCAAACGATTCCATTTACTGATTGAATAAAATGGTGACATATCAGGGTTGAGAATAAATGACATGATTATACAACAACGATAAAACATGTATGTATCGAAAATACAGCAAAAGAAACGAGGTGTTTGGATGGATTTTATTATCCATTCGGAGATTCGTTTTTCACTGGTGAAAATTTCCAAATTAATCTACAAAAAGGAAAACAAATCATAATCGTAGACAAATTACACTCTAAGAAAAAGGGTGCAAAAAGGGTGCACAATAAGAGTTTGCACCCTTTACATAAAAATGAACCCTATTAAAGGAAAAGTGGTTAAAAAAGGGTGCAATATAAGATTTTGCACCCTTCCACAAAAATGAACCCTATCGACCAAAAAAGGGTGCAAAATAAAAGTTTGCATATTGCATGCATATTCATGATAACTTTCCACGTGTTCACATAAAAATACATTTATCATGATTTGTTAAGCAAATTATGACAATGCACATCAATTTTGTGATTTGTATTTTCCTTTGGCAATCATTAACCAATAGATTATTTTGTCTGATTATGTTACAATTACATTCACGTTTTAGCAATATATATATTGATTATATGATTACTAACCAAGAAACATCATGCATGTTTAATATGTATTTGTGTACGAGCAAATTTTACCAGTATTCCTCGACGATGGGTGCAGGATTTCACGTTTTAAAGGGTGCAGGGTTGAACCCCTAAAGATGCTGCTATTGCATCGGTTTGCACCCCTAATGGAGCACGATTGAACCATTTAGGGTACTTATTAACATGTCTCCTAAAAGGTGCAATCTGGCACCCTCTTAAAGGGACGCTTTACTACTTCAGATAAAAGGGATTATACCACCCAGTGAGCCATCGAGGTCACTGTGACAGTTGGCTATCTCATTAACTCAGCTCTCATTTAACAAAAGAAAAAGAGGATCATGGGGGACCAACAGGCACCGATTTGGGAAGTTTTCTATATAGAGGGAGCAAGTAGCTACAAGTAGGACAGTGTGCCTTTAAAGGATGCAGGAATGAACCACAAAGGGTACTATTTCCCCTAAAAGGTTCAATCTGGCACCCTTTTAAAGGGTGCTGGATTGCACCTTTAAAAAGGGTGCAGGATTTAAAACCTAAAGGTGCTGCTATTGTTGTATCGGTCTGCACCCCTAAAGGTGCATACTTGCACCATTTTTTCTTAGTATACAGTAATGGTAACATACAGTCATTACATCTTTAGTTAGGTGAGTTACAAGAATCCTTTTTTATAAGATAAGGATGCCAACAGAGCTAGAGGATAATCGAGGACAAAGGGTAGGCCGAGAAGGCGTGTAGAGCAGTGAAGAAATGATTCTAATCAACCATTTATTTTCCATTCGCATATTAGTTCTTCACTGGTGAAAGTTTCCAGATTAATTTACAAAAAGAAACAAAAATCATAGTCGTAGAAAATTGCAGTAATGGTAAAATACAGTCATAACATCTTTAGTTGGGTGAGTTACACGAAAACATTTTTGTAAGGATGCCGAAAGAGCTAGAGAGTAGAGGAGGACAACAGGTAGGCAGGGGAGGCGGGTAGATCAGTGAAGAAAAAACAGAAACGAACAGTGAGCCAATAGAGAGGAAGTATAACATATAGTTTAGCTGCGTAAATTGACATAATGAGAATAAATTAAAGGCTAAGTCCACGCCAAAAATAATTTGTCTCAGATGCAGAAAAACAAGAGAAACAGAGCAAATTTTTGTTTGTCCTCCTCTGCTTTTTTTGGAGTAGATTTGCCCTTTAATCTTTCGATTTCTGCAGTTGTGTTCAACATTTCAGCCACACACTGGGAGGTTAAATATCTCGAACGTCGATATTCCTGGGGCTATGTCTTTTCTTTCTTTTTCTACCATGTTTTTTTCACCGAAACTATGGGGCACCGTTCAATACCTTTCGAACCTGTCACATGCAATGTTGACGTTGATGAGCCAGATCACGTGGTTAGCCCTAACCCTCCGTGAAGGAAAACACGTTAAACATGTGGTGTCCATGTGTTATTGGCGTAAAACCGCCATTATCTTCAGGGCGAAGACAGATATCCTATATACCCGCATATCTCTACTAGCAATTTTGACTTATGAAAAAATTAATACTGAAACCATGCTGAAACTTAGCAAAATACACCCCAAAAGCAGAAGAATATTAAAGAACAGGATCAAGAGGATAAGAAAATGTAGATGATGACAAAGAAGAAGTAGAAGGAGGAAACAAGAAAGGAAAAAAAGAAGACCTCTCCTTTTGATGACCTAGATTCCACTTGTAGGTCGTATTACACCAGATCAAGTATTTGCCAGGGTGGGGGATCGCCCTATACATGGTACGCCACTGTTTTTGTTGTTGTTGTATTTGCCGTTATATAGCAATCAGCCAATTTCGACTTTTATCACCAACTATTTGTTTTCTTATTAAGAACTTCAATTGGAAAAAATAATGGACCTCTCTCTTTAATTATTCTAATTTTCTGTAGGTGACCCCTTTTTTGTTAGGGGGGGGGGGGCTACGCCATTGCCATTTACGGGCTTAAAGAATGGTATCCACGGGAAAACCAGGTGTGACACAACATTATCACCTAAGCAATTGATTCATCTCACTTTGTGAAGTAGCATGGGTCCAGCTACGATGGGTGCAAGCGAACAAGTCAATCTTGTGATGGGAGGGGTGAGAGGGTGGGTCGGTCATAAGGAATATACCCAACACAAAGTTAAGTCCTTTAGTCCTAAGACCCAGGATCAAGTATCTGGTCGAGGGTTCAAATTAACACCTTAACCATATTAAGAACAATTTATTTATTTATTTATTCATGTCTTCTTTGTAAAAAGCAGGGTGGTCCCATTGAAGCCGCAAGGCCTGCTTTCCAACAATGCTGAACCAAGAACCGAAATGTCAACCCAAAACTTAACACTCGATCTTTGACGAAGACAAATGCCAAATCAATTATGCGGAGGGGTACTATTATCTTCTATTCAAGCTGACATAATTCCCTTCCCCCATTATTTCACCGTCTCCCACATTTTCCTGCTTTTTTGCGGATCAATAGGGTGCCCCCTCCGCCCTCATAGCTACGCCAATGCACATATCCCTGTTAAGTTGTCCCGCCAACCCCCAATTCCAGTCCTGCTGGGGAGGAGGGATAAGGCGAAAATTGAGTTAAATAAAACTCGCCATGATCGCATCTTACTAGTTAAAATAAATCAGACAGACATATCACGAGCCTGTTCTTAAAACATGTAAAGCGTCTGTACATCGAACTCTAGTCTTATAAACATCAAATCAATTTGTCAAGAAAAACAAGAACCAGAAATTGATTGCAACAGAAAGATTTTTTCGCATTTCGCATACTGCATATTCGTGATACAATTGCAAATCATTTATTTACCACTGTCATAAAACTAAAATGAATTTCATCATGTCCTACACCAATATCCCCGCTGCTGAGCAAACCAGGAGAAAATAATCAAATTTGATTGCTTTCGATATAAGTGCTCAGAGTGTTAATAACTATATAATTTGGGACGGAAGCCTCGCTGTAAAAAGATATTTACTTGTAAGTGGATTTAGTGCTTAGCAAGGTTTCAAAGTGGTGTTGGATTTTAATTTGTTCTCGTTATTTTCATCAAGTTGTGATTGGGTCGGGCATTCATCATGTTCATATACGCAATTTAAATGAAAGTGCATATGTCTGCGCGTCACATTTAATTTCCCGACATGGTTTTGAAAATGCTATTCTTGAGCACTTGGTAAATTTACACAATATTAAAAGGAGAGATGATTGCTTCGACCCAAATTTCAAAATAAATCAA